TGGGTTTTTGGCTAGCGACCCAAGGTATTGGGGGCCATTAATGCTTCCATTAGGTGAAGTACTAGATTTTTCTAGTAACAGTAACATTTTGAATCATGCTATTTAGAGAGGGATTCTCAGCTTGCTTCCTTACCAGGCTGACAGGCAAATAAGGGCTGGAAACAGTCTGAACTCCTCTGATGGAAAAAGAGTCTCAAATACTGCGATGTAGAATAGATCAGGCACATTTTTAATTGAGATTCTGTAGTTTGGAGCATCCTTCACAAGTATTTGAGCCGTTAATCTTTTAAAGGCCTCAAGTCTTGGGGAGGTGTAACTTCAGTTGGCCAGACTTGTCCACCTGTTCATTAGCATTTCTACTCCCATTTGCTTCTTCCAAATTATTATGCAAGCTGATGGCTTAGGAAGCCTGTAAGTCCTTTTAGATTTGTCATCATTTTGATATGCAGGAGCTGCTAAGCCTTTGTTCTTGTAGCAGTCATTTGCCTGCGGTGTTGTACTGTCTGTTTGAATCCATAGTTGCCTTTTGCTACGGGTGTGATGCTGTTGTTATCTGGCAACTAGTTAAAATCATCAGTGGCTTTTTTGTTTGCTTGTGGTGGTTTTTCTGTTTTGCTTAGCCACCTGAAGTCTGCTTTAGTTATTTTAACTGTCTTGTGAATAGACTGATGTTGCTCGTTGTGATGATAAACTTGTGGTGGTGGCAATTCATTGAAAAGAAGATAACTTTTTCAAAGAATACTAATGTCTTACTAAGGGTTGGAAATTTTGTAGAAAAAGTGGTGACTGTAAAATTGTGTTCATTGATTTTTTTTTTTTTTCCATCCCCATGAGTTTATTCTGTGGTAATCTGGTCCTTAATAGAAGTTCTAAGGCTGAAAAATGGAAAAAAGGTTTTGTGCTACCACATGGGGCTGTATGTAAGCTAATAAATAGAATGTGGAGTAGATACACCTGGAGTACTGTGTCTAGCTCTGGGCTTCTCTGTACCAGAAAGAGAGAGACTTGCTGGAGCAAGTCCAGAAGGAGGTTGCAGAAGTGATTTAGGAGTAGGAGAATCTTGAGAGCTGAAGCTTGATCTACTGTGTTCAGCCAGGCTCTGTGCAGTTTCATGTCTTCATTATTCTCCCCAGCTTGTAGCCTACTCCTTAATTTTTTCACTGTTGCTTATCACAGCACCTCTTTGCTCTGCTTAGTAAGGAGCTGACTGAAGCTTAAGTGTAATCCTATATATATATACACATATTTATATTTATGTTTAAATTTGGCATTGTAAAATGCTTTTAATTAAAAATATATGTGCTCACTAGATGGCAGCAGTTTCCCTAAATAACTGTGAGAATGAAGCATTCTCTACTAACAGTAGGTATTTTGGGACTTCAGACTGCAAATCGACTGTTAATACTGTGTTTATGTTAAAATTAAAATATTAGTTAATAATATGCAGAACTTAATGCAATGTGCAGCTAACATTAGAGCTCCTCTGAAAAGAACTTAAGAACATGCCTTCTCAGAAGTGTTTCAAGACTGGATATGGAATATTACATTGCTCATGAATGTCATCATATTTCTTGTTTTGGTTAGAAATCTTCAGTTTTAAGCTATCTTGTCTTCTTGTAACAGATAATGCAAAATGCAGAAGGAGAAGAAAATACATATGTTTTATCAGTTACTGCAAGTGGAGTGCAACATTAAAATAGCTTGTATTATTTCTCTGAAAATATGTAAATGAAAACTCAGGACTTTTAGATTGAAAATATTTTCCTCTGAGATATCACTTTATTTTTAGGTGAGGAGTAAACATACATAAGTTTTGATGTGCAGATACTTAAAACTAAACTGCTCAAAATTGTTTTAATTTTTGAGTCTGACCTGAGTTTGGTCTTGCATTTCTGTAGCGTGTGCTCTTTGTATGTGTCAGTTGTGAAGAAAAGTAAGCTTGGCCTGAGGTTTTCCATTTTGAATAACACTTCTGCTTTTTACTAAATGAGCTTTTCAGGTGATGAGTAACTTGCATTTGGTTATTGACCAGAGAAGTTGGCAGTATGTGCTTGTGCTGGAGCCCTTGTGTTAGTCTGTTAGACTGTATTTTAAAGAGAAACTGAATACTTGAAGAGTAGTTTATGAAAAGAAATGGAGCAGTGGAGAAAAATGAATCTGTTCAGAAAGATGCTTTGGGATATCAGTCTGGAGATGCATTTCACAAGGATTTGGTTCTATAAACTGTTATTTTTGTATGTATTTCAGAGGAGGTGAACTCATCTGTTAGAGGAAAGTCAAAAAGGAGTATCATAATGTGACTGTATCTAGTGAAGCCCTTTTGTTCAAAAGGAAGTAGCCAGTGAATATGTGGCCACTCCTATCCTAGCTGCAGTTTTAGAATGTGAGAAAGCAGAGACAACTGTATTGTGTACTTATTGGGAGATTTTTTTACTCTCTTGTTGGACTGTTGGGCCCTTATTCCAGCTTGTTTAGGAAAGCCAGTCGGTAGGGTATGACCTAGCAAATTCAGTTTAGAACTTAACCTTTAATTCAGGACCAGTTTTCAAGGCTTTCTTACACTGCTTTTCGCAAGACTAAACTTAGTATTTTAAAGTTTTGCTTTGACCACTTAGTGTGGGGCTTAATTGCATCTGTACTAACATCATAGTTCTAAAGTGGTTTTTATGTATTGAAGAATTAAAGATAATAAATGCTGCATTTTGTTTCTTTTAGTTTCATGTTGAATGGGATAATCCAGCTAATCATGCTTGTAGCTGAATATATTTTCCATCTATGGAAACCTGTGGGCTTATTTGTTCCATTTTCATTAATACTTCTAGCTTGTGTCACAGTTTTATGGAAAGCTTTTGAAAGATGGAATGTGCTGCCTAGGATTTCTGTATATTTTCAGTGATACTGACAGTATACAGAAAAACTGCTTTTCTGTAATAGCAGATTTCTTGGCAAAACAAAGATATTTGCATCTTAATTAGATAAATGCTTTATATTCAGTGATTTGTTCTACTTAATCTTTTCTTGCTCTGACATAGTAGTCTCAATCTTCAGTTTGTGATGTGTTTATCAAAGCAGACAGTGATGTAGAACTTTTTTAGTTAGAGCAGGAATGGTTCATAACTCACAAGAGGCAGCTCCCTGAGTGAGTCATTTAGGTCATTCCCACTTGTGTGGAAAAATATTACATCATTGCTCTGTACTCAGTGTTCTATTTATACCATGCCAGAATTTTAAGTACATTTTGCTTTTTTTAGATGCTGTAAACAGTATTGGGGGTTTGTCTAAAAGTAAAGTTACTGCTAGGCCATAGAAGGAGCATAACTGAATCAAATATTTACAGAGAGTCCAGGAGTCAGAGGAGCACACTGTCTGCAAATTCAAGCTTGCCAAGGGTGTGGGGGTTGACCTTTGTAGCAGAAAGAGTAAAAGACAGCACAGATTTATCCTATCTGTAACCCTGTAGCTTTTTGTGGTTGTTTTTTTTCTTCACCCTCTTGGTTTTTATTAGAGCAGTAAATAAAGGTGGAGCCATAGTTATGAGCAGGTCTGACAGATATTGATGAGAACACCTTTAACCTAAAGTTATTCTTCTTTGTGGTAGGAATTCCTTTGGGTTCACAGCTTTCAATTTCAAGTATCCTCCTTGCATAATTTGATGTTAAAAATTGAGTTATTCTGTCAGAATAGAGTCCCCTTGTATTCCCCAGGGAATTCTGCAGTTGCATTACTTCTGCATTTTCTCCAGCTTCAGATCATGTGTTTGCAGAGTGCTTTTTTTCTGTCTGTTTTCACCAGGTTAAATCAGACTTTGTGATTTCATTCTAAGACTTCCATATTGTAAACTGTGCAGTCAATGCTACTTCTTTTTACAGACATTTCTCTCACAAACTTAAACATTGAAAAAGATGGTGAATTTTTCCTCAGGTTTAGCTAAGGGTACCAATTATTCTGAAGTTTCTTCTGACCTGTGTTCTGCTTTACTGCACAACACTAAGAAAAGTGTTCCTTTTGTGTTCTTTTGTACATGTGTTCTTAAAAATTCTGTAGTATTGCTCTGGAGGCAACACCTTTGCAATGCAGCTTTTATCAGATGTGTGAAAACAATGAACTGTGCTGGGTTTGGGGCTGGGGTTTGTGTTTTGTGTTTCTTCCCCCAACCCAAGTTTCTGTTGTTGTGTTTACTGTAGGGCTTTTGTCTGAATCAGAATGTTGGTGAGAATTATTTCTCAAACTGGTAAGTTGCTGTAGGAAAAGTTTAGATGAGTGTGAAATTGAGAGGACTGCAAGGAAAGTTGTTTCGTTCAGAAAATGTGATGGTTTTCCTGTTTATTCTGAATCTGTACTGAAAAATCTTCTAGTTATAACAGGGTTGATTGTGTTTAAGAGAAAGCAGTTGAGTATATATATTTTATGTTGATACTGTCAGGCATCATGAATTTGGGCAGGGTCACAACTGTCTTCAAGAACAAAAATTGAACTGCGAAATGTCATCAATAGTTGGTTAGAAGGTTTGAGAGTACAAAGGACCTGGAAATGATTCAAGAGAAGTAATTTACTATAGCTTGATGGGATTGTGCATGATAGGTGCTTCATATGTGCATTATTAACACATAGCAAGTGTGATAAAACTTGTTAAGTTACAACAACTGACTCATTGAGAACAATCCACAGGCAGTCCTGACTTCAGCTTGAAATCGAGATCTTGATTCTTTTTATGTATTGGAAATGCCATGATGTTCTTAATGGATTATCCATAAAGGTGATAGTTCCTGGTTTCTGGATGCGTTTCTTTAGTTATTTATGTCTTCTGTACAGCTCTAACTGCACTTATTTTTCCCTTTGTAGATCCTGAACATTCTGGTTTGTTGTCCTGCCAGTTGTGTTTGGGAATGCCAGCAGACTGCCTCCTCCCAGGGCAGAGCTCAGATGCCTGGCTTAATGTATTCGTGCAATATTATTAAGCACTGTATCAATGCAGACTTTGTGTTGCCTTGTGTTCTCAGGTGACCGGGTCATAGACGTGGGGTCGGAGTGGAGAACGTTCAGCAATGACAAAGCAACCAAAGACCCATCTCGAGTTGGGGATACCCAGAATCCTTTGCTCAGTGATGGTGACTTGAGTACAATGATTGGCAAGGTAACACTGGAAATAGGAAATTTTGCTGAATTTTTTCATTTCAAGTACCAGATTGTATGTCCGTGGAGAAACTATATAATATATGTATTTTTGAACAGATTTTCACCTGAACCAAAGTTGCATGTTTCAACAGTGTATAAAATGTTGCCCTTTCCTGGGGATGAAGGAAAGGGCCAACCTTTGCAAAAAAAAAAAACCCAAAACGTTTGCAGTGCTGTGGGGTTACTTGCTACCCTTTGATATGTTGCTATAAATAGGAAAGCTGATGTTGCAATTTTAAAAGAAGTATACTTTGACTTGGCAAGTCAAAGTCTGAAATTAATGTTGAGATCTCGATAGCTAGTGCTGCCATTTTTTTTTTGGTAGTAATATTTGTATCAGATTCATATTGGAGACCTGCAGATCTCACATTGTACATGTTCTTTCAATTAATGTTGAAGCACTAAATGTAAAATTCTCTCATGGTGTGAGTGCCCTAAAGGAAAGTATTCAGTCTATACTTGGGTTGAAATTTTGTGGTGCTATCATATCCTGCTATTTTTCCTGAGAGCAAGCAGGACTAGTCACACAAATGCATTCCATTTAATGAAGTAGTGACCTAGGTAAGTTTTAATTGTACTTTCTTCTTCATTTTTTACTGCAAGATCCAAATTATTTTTTGTGGATTTCCTGAATGTTTAATGAAAAGGGGTGCAGTTGCTGATTAAAAACATTTTGCTGATTTTCTGTTTTCTCAGAAGTTTTTGTCCCGGTGATGTTCCTAGGATGAAGTGCCTAAATATGTTTGTATAGGGCAGCGTGCAGCATACTTTTTATCCAAGAATTCTTCAAAGTGAGGAAGTCAACAAGTGAATACTGATGGGCAGCTAATTTTCACCATTAGTGAAAAAGAAATCTTCTGTTTGAGGAATTGTCCAAGTAGATGATTATGTTTTGGACAATTCCAAGCATTGCTGCCTATCAGTTTTTTAGGATTATACGTGGCTTTTGGAGTACATTCAGACAGATTTCTGCACTGTTTCATTAAAACATTGACATTGCTCTGTAAAGCGGTGTTGTAGAAGTCACAGGAATTCTAATACCACCTATATAGGATCAGAAAGATTGTAGTTCAGAGGGCTTGGACTTCTGTTGCTGATTTGGTCAGCTGTGATAAAGATCAGATGGAGAAATGGGCTGTTTGCTTCAGGTTCACATTGTTTCTCACTCTGGGCTGTGTAAATAAATACAGGGTTTGTTTCTGGGAGCTCAGCTGGATTCAGTCAGTAGAATGACCTGAACTCCTTTAGAACCTGTGTGTTGGAAAAGACAAAAGACATTTCAGCTAAGAATAGATTTTGTGTCCAGGTGATCAGTGACTTGTGCTGTTAACCTCCTTCCCTCTGAAGGTTTAGATCCTAGTTCAGAATAAAGAGGGATAGCAACCTTAGTGAGACAATTAAAGACACACACAAACCTCTATGAAAAGTTTGTTTGCCCATGAAAACTACACCTTTCAGAGCTGGACATTCAACTAATGAAAGTTTTGCTGTGAACCAGAACATCCCGGAATAGGCAGGAGCAAACTTGCTGTAGCAAAGAGTGCCATTCCATAAAGACAGGATGAGAGTTGTAGTGTGGTTAGTGTGGTTTAGTTTTAGAGTCTCATTTAACCTATGAGAACCAAGTAAAAAGTGCTGGAGCTGCCAGGGTTGTGTTTGGGTTTGTAGAGGGGGCGGTCAGTCCGGCTGTGGACACTTTATTTGCACAGGGAGGAATTATAGAAGAGGTGCATTATTTTCTATGGGAGATTGAGAGTCCCTTTAACAAACCAGGATGTTTTCTGCACAGGAGTTCCTGTGTTTGTCTTGCTGGTAAGCAGGAGCTCTGTGTTGTCAGTTCCTTGATGTGAGCTCTGTATTAGGGGCTGCTTTTTTTTCAGTCGTTTGGAAGGGAGTAAATGACTTTTATCAGAAGATGCTGAAGAAATCTGTTGTCAGTGCAGAAAGGGCATGAAGTTTGCAGCAAGGAAGTATTACATTTCTCAAGCAGTCATCTAAGTCCCTGCTGGCAGTAGGTTAGGATGTGGATTGACCTAGATAGACACAGTGGTTGAACAGTAGATACAGTGGTTGAGCAAGGGTGAAATTGGTGTGGTCTTGAAGAGGGTACGTAGTACCTGACAGAGTACAGAACAACCGTTGTGAATTCCAGAGAATGAAGCAAGTTAAGATTATTATCTTCCCAGTTAACAGCAGATTTTAGAATGGCCTGGAGTGGAACCCATATTTGTGTGCCAGAGATGGCTTTAACCTTTCATAGGGACAGGACCAGGGCTCTTTCTGCTTGAGGTAGGACTGCAGATAATAAAATCTTTACAGCTGACCTCCTCCACACCCTTGCAGAAACACCCCCACCAGAAAAACCCCTAAAACACAACCTGTATTGTGGGAAATCCAAAAGAGAAGAGAAAGTTCTGTTGTAGATTCCTGGGGATGGAGGTGGAAATAGAGTCTCGGCCAGTTACAACAGTATTGCTTTGTAAGAGTAGAGGAAGAGGGTCAGTTCTGCTTCTCAAAATGGTTTGTCTCTTTCCTCTGGGGAGGCAGGAGGTGGTGCTATGGGGCCCCTTCCTGCAGGGATGTGTTGTCTGTATGTGTTAGCTGCTCTGCCTGTGCAGAGGGATTAATTCCTAATTGGTTTTAATGCTTAAGGAACCCATCTGTCTGAGGCAGCAGCCTGCGCTGCAAGAAAGATTAATTTGCCTGTGAAGAGGAGGGTGAATAGCATAGTTGGCGGTGGTGGAAGTGGTTTGAATTCCATAGGCAGGTCTTCAGGATACTGGTACAGAACTGGAACTCTGAAATGAGATACTGTGTGCTGCAGTTGATCTGATTACAATGCAGATTAGTTGGAGGCATGGTGAGGTGTCACATTGTGACTTGATTGCCAGAACATTATATAGTTATTTCTAAAATTCTAACATAAAATTAAAGACAATAACTCAACAAGCAGCTTTTAGTTTTGTTTTGATACAGGGAACTCTCTTCTAGGAATCTAAAAGCAAACTGTTAGTTTTGTTTCCTATCTTGTGGAAGATATCTTTTGTCACCTTTGCCAGTTAATTGATTTGGTTTTTTTTGTAGTAACTGCAATTCCAAGAAACTTTATATTGGTTGAACAAAGATCTAATGCAATCTCTTGGCATACAATACCTATCCTTTGATCAGATATCTCTGAAAGAAAGCTGGCTTTTGTTAAACTGTGTGGCCTGAATCTGGAAGTGCTGTATTGATAAGCAATGAGACGGTATCAGAGGCTGATGATTGAAAAAGCAGAAAGAATCCATCAGACTGATCCATATGAGCTAGTTGTACTGGGCAAGAAGACTGCTGGGTTTGGGGGCATGCCTTGGTGCTGTGGTTAACCACAAATCAGTGATGTGGATGATACTGGTCATACTTTACTTTTTGCTGCTGTAGAGAAATACTGGGGTACAAAGCTGTTGAATACAAGCACTCTTAAGTCTGAGCTCCACTGAGCCCCTTCAGAGATTGTCACTGTTTACTTGGCTGCATTTTTTCACTCTAGTTACCTTGAAGGGTGTTTCCAGGATTATGTCCATGAGGTTTCTGTTCTGTTTAAAAGCCAAACAGGTAGAACTGACTCAAAGGCCACAACAGCGAACCACATGATTCATAAAGTCAGTTTCATTTCAATTAAAACTATGGTTTCTGTCCTTTTCCATGAAGGGAAAGCAACTCTTAACATGGTTGTCAAGGGCTGAAATCAATGAAGTATTGTCCCTCAGAGCTTCAGAAGGAAAGTAGATGGTGCATTTAAATAACAAATGCAGGGAGAATTTCTGTGGTTTATGTAAGCACTTGAGGTGGAAGAGAGTCTTCCACCCTTTTTATAGTTGTGAGTTGTATATTGGGCATGACTCTTGAAGAGGGCTCACATCAGCAGGGTAAAATCCTTGTCTAGTTCCACTTCACAGCACCTAATAGATGTGGTTTTTAATTTTTTTTTTTTTTTTCCTTAACCAGCATACCAGGGAAAATCCCTGTGATGAACAGGAATCCTTGCTGGCTCCAGGACAGATCAGTATTTCCTGGTAGATTAATCTCTGATATGAAGCCTGACTAGACAGGGACCTGGGGACTTGCTGTTGTTTGTGCTCACTCTTCTGGCATCTACAAGAGTTTGAGGTCATGCAGTTCCATGTAAGCATTTGTGCATAACACTGGTCTATGAGGCCATGATAAACAAAATGTAACATACTGCAGGGTACAGGGGTATGACTGAATGCCAGCAAGGAATCTTTTGACCTGAGACTTCTGTATACTTTGGGCCAAGGGAAGTTCTGGCATAATTTTTGAATGGAAGGCCTAGTATTGCTCCTTGTGGCCTGAAGTCTGTTGTACTTTATTCTTGCTCTTTGTTTAGCTTTTCATCTTACTGGGAACTTTGAATAGTTGATCATCCGGCCAAGGACGTAGGTTTGTCTTTGGAGTAGCCCTCCATTGTGTTGGTGGCAGGATTACATCTGGGTGCTTATTTTGTATTAAAGGATGTTTGGAGTAGTAGGAAAAAGCCAGAAAGGGTTCTGGAATCTGTTGTAGAGACCTGTTGAAGGAGCTGGGGAGACTTGTGAGGAGGGTTCTGTGCAGAAGTCCTCAGTTGCCACAGTGAGTCAAGGTGTGTGAGCACCACAGATGGTGTCTCAGCAGGGAGGGATCCACTGGGGCTGCTGGAAGTGGGGTGTCATTGAGGCCTTGGCCATGGGAAGGGGAACAGTGTTAGTGAATGGTCCAGAGCGAGTGCTTCTACTGTCAGAAAACATGTTAAATGCAGAAGTGCACCTCAGAGATGATAGTTATAGTCTGTGTAAAAATAGAATGGCAATTCCCAAGAACATGGGTCAGGAATGAAGAAACTGGGCAGCTGAGAAGGAAAAGGTGATGCCAGGACATTTTATGTTTTGTTCACTCTGTCTTTACCCCACTTCATATAGCCTGGACATCTTGATCCATTGCTGGGTATTCACTTTGAGAACTCTGTGTGCAAGTGCTTAACCAGATTGTCAGTCAGTCACAGATCAAGACCTGCTTTATGTTTACTGGTTTTGGCAAAATGACAGTGTGGTGCTGGTGTCTGCAGTGGCTTGTTTAAATGGCCAAATCTGTCTATAGTGAAAGTTGGATGCCCCACCTCACGTAAATTGTTTGAAGGTACCAGCAAGGAATAAATGCTTGCAGGTTCAGGAAATCCATGTTTCTACACATGATGGAATTGTGAAGAAGTGGTTTCCACCTGAAAGAATTTGGAGCCCCTTGCATATTGTGGGAGTGAACACATATGTAGACAATATAAATTGCTCTTCTCCTACAGGACATGTCATTATCAGCTATCACTAATCTGACATGGCATTATTTGGTTAAGACTTGTTTTGGACTGCTGGCACATTGAAAGCCGTAAACATTTTAGACCCTCTTGGCTGGACAAATTTGCCTATTTAATAGGAAGCATGCAATTTGCACTAACAAATTGCAAGCAAAATTGTATCTTGGAAGCTTGTTTTGAAGTTGCCACCTTCAGTGTGGGGCTCTTAATTCTCTGAAGACCTCAAGCTTTCTTTTAAGAGGCCAATGATTTTCCCATGAAGTCAAAATAAATGGATATTTACATTTTCTGATTGAGGCTGGCAGCCTCTAACAGGCACTGTATCAAGTTGGGTTTGACTGGCTCATTGGTTTGTGTGTTCTCTTTGCCCATGCCTTCACTAAGATGGTTATCATTGTAACAACTGGTCTCCAGCTGACCATAAAATTTTTTGGTTTTTCTGACTCACCTGACTGCCACAGATGCGGCCTAAAGGACACACCAGAGTTGCACAGAATATCATCCTGGACTTCAGCACTGGTGATAGGAGTATTGAGATGTACACATTGGCTATAATAATCTTTCTCTTTTTGACTCTGTAACTACTGTTATGTAAGGGAATAAAAAGCCCTGTGTAATCCATGGTCTCTGGGATGCAATTCACGATTTGAGGTGCAAAGTGTAGAACTTATGTGGAACAATGCTTGATTGAATGAGTTACTTTCAGTGTTGTTTATTTGCACAACTGTTGGAACTGATGCCTTGAATTAAAATGTATAAAGCTGGAAGATGTTTGCTTTTGAAGTGAGGAGGAAGTTGCTTAGTTGCTTGTATTATTGATGATACAAATTTTTCTTTTCAGGGCACAGGTGCAGCAAGTTTTGATGAATTTGGGAATTCAAAGTACCAAAATCGCAGAACTATGAGCAGCTCTGATCGTGCGATGATGAATGCTTTTAAAGAAATTACAAACATGGCAGACAGAATCAACCTCCCTAGAAATATAGTTGTAAGTTCATGTCTTCCTTCCTTAAATTGTTCTGGCATTGACTTAGTTAGCATAATATAATGAGCACATGAATTTTTGATATTGCTGCTAATTAAATGGCCTAGAGTTAATTAAATTTCATCTTCTTGCATTGAAGGATCGAACAAATAATTTATTCAAGCAAGTGTATGAGCAAAAGAGCCTGAAGGGGAGAAGTAATGATGCTATTGCTTCTGCTTGTCTCTACATAGCCTGTAGGCAAGAGGGTGTTCCAAGAACATTTAAAGGTAAGTTTTCAGTGATACAGATTCAATTTTGCTATGCAGAAAAGGTTTAGTTACTGTCACTGTAGGAGGTTGGTGTTCTTATTCCTGGACTTTGTCAAATTGTTCTCAGCTGTAGCTCACCTTTGAGGGAAGGGTAGAAGGGTCTGTGGGAATTTGTTATATTTGTGGAGTAGGCTCTAGGGCATGGGATTTTGGCATTTGAAAGTTATTTTGGGTGTTGAAACTTAAAAGGCATTGCTTTTATTGGAGGATGGTGGAGACTGTTGTAACTGAATTTAACTGAATTTGAACCAGCAGTTTTGTAGTAAATTTGTGCAGCTTTTCCCTGACAGAGGTGCAATTCTCTATCACTGAGTACCAAATATCCCATACTATTACTAATAATAGCTGTATTAATTAGCATCTTATGATAAATGTGCACTGACTGAATTTTCACTAATGGTTGGAGTTTATTAAGTGATGGCGGCTTTCAGGACATTGGCTCTCTTTGTGAGGCTTAATATAATGAGAATCAAGTTTGATTATTTTGGGAGGAGAAAATGCTGTGAAGCCTAAGATTTAATTTTATACTCTTTTTTTCAGAAATATGTGCAGTGTCCAGGATTTCAAAGAAAGAAATAGGCCGGTGTTTTAAACTTATCTTGAAAGCTCTGGAAACCAGTGTTGATTTGATTACAACTGGCGACTTCATGTCACGATTCTGTTCTAATTTGGGTCTTCCCAAACAAGTACAAATGGCAGCAACACATATTGCCCGTAAAGCTGTGGAATTAGACTTGGTTCCTGGGAGAAGCCCTATCTCTGTAGCAGCTGCAGCTATTTACATGGCGTCACAGGCTTCTTCAGAGAAAAGGACACAAAAAGGTAAAACTTGACTTTTTTTGGTATGTTTTGGTTTGTTTTTAGTTTGCCATGTCTTCCTCCTTGAAAGAAACTTCAGTATTGCTGTAAAACTTGGATTGAGGTCTGTGCAAACAGTGATAAGCTCCATTCTAACAGCATACAGCAAGGACCAAACCAGGATCTCCCAGTCTCCAGAATGAACATGGAGTAATTGGCTACACTCAGTGTAAACTGAGTTCATTTTCTTTTGGTATTTAGGATTTGGATTCTTGAATGCAATGGACCGGTGCATTCAAATGAGCATAATAATTTAAATTCACCTATGCTAATATGTTCGTGTATCCATTTTGCTCCTCTAAAATATTCCAAACAGGAGCTTGGTGGCAGTTGCAGGGAGCACTTGGGCTTTGGATTACACTGAATCTTTAATCATTCCTGCAGTCAGACAATCATCTGCATTAGCACATGGCCCTTGACTTACTGTGAGCCTGGTAAAGATGGAAAGGTCTGCTGTGGACCTGCTGGTAACCCTACTAAGCAAACCTTGCCATCCTACACTGCCTGTGGAGAGCCAGTAAGGGGTCCAGGGCTCTTGAGCTGCAGGGCAGCATGGATCAGCCCCAGGGGCTCAAGGGAATGAAGCTACAGGGCAGCAATGTCTGGGGAAAGAAGTTTGCTTAGGCTTCAGGGGGTGGAACTTGATGTGAGAAATGGATGCAAGTGCTCCACTGAGTTGTCCAGATCAGAAACGTTGAAAATGTAGCAATTTTTTAATGGAGCATTCCCTTTGGATAAAGAATAGCATTTATCTGTCAGGTCGTGGTGTTTTGTTCTGCTTTTGTAACCGCTTATGTCCCTGGAGCTTCCATCCTGTTGGCACTTTCCTGGGCCTGTGAGTGATCCGGAGGCCAGGAAGTTCAGTACCTTCATCCTTGCTGGTTGTGAGCCACTGGATTTGATCTCTTAAGAGTGATAATTAAAATACAGCTGCTTGCCATGGACACCATGACTCCACAGGGTTTCTTGTGCTCCAGGGTTTTCAGACATTGCTAAAGGCTCTCATGCAGTTTAAGGTTTCAATTCCTGACTTAACTAACTCTTGAATAAATTTAGGTTTCTGTGCAGCTCAAACAAGTGTTCCCTCAGCTTGTTAGACAGTGCTGTGTGCCCCTGCTTTATTTCTTGGTGCATTTTAAAGTAAATGTATTTAACGCTTAACTGAAGGTACCAGTTTTTGTCTGTGACTCAGTTTTTTGCTTGTTTTTGCTTATATTTAATCAAAGCATAAAAACGAAAATCCGGAAGTTGATGATTTGTTAAAATATTGGTGGTCATGTGTAGTAAATGTTTCTAATCACTTTTATGCTCTTAGCCCTCATCCAGTTTGACGTTTGTTATTCCACAATTTATAGGTTAAGCTGAACTGTGGCACATAAGATAGACTTACGTATCCAAAATACTAGTCACTGCAGTTAAAACCAATTCTAGCAGGCTTTTTGGGGAGTTGCAAGTGAAGCAAGTGTCCAGGGGATCTTGACAAGTTATGCTTGCTGGTTTCTTGAATACAAATGGCAAAAATAAGAACTAACCACTTCTCTGCTTTTTGTTGTAGAAATTGGTGATATTGCTGGTGTGGCTGATGTTACAATTAGACAGTCATACAGGCTGATCTATCCTCGAGCTCCAGATCTTTTCCCAGCAGACTTCAAGTTTGATACCCCAGTAGACAAGCTACCACAGCTGTGAGATTATAGAGGGTTAATTTCTGTTAACCCCCCCTCAAAAAACCAACAAAAACAAACTCTTTATTTTTGCCTATAATAAAAGATGTACAAAGTGTTAATATTGGGTCTTCGTGTTGTGGAACTGGAGGATATGGAGACGGAGCATAACTGCTGGAAGGCAGCATACATTCCAAGGGTAAACAAGCTTATTGTGTGGCATTTTGTATGTATATATCAGTGGAAGTAAATATTTAATATCTGTTGCAACAAATTTAATTTGATACTGTTGTACTTATTTAGATTTCTTTTGTAGGGATCTAGTAAGATGTATTTTGGAGAATTTAAAATATTGTGTAATTACCAAATAAACTTTTCCAAAAACACCATCTTGTGGTATGACTGCAATGTGACATGCATGTACTGTTGTACATGCTGAGAACTGGAATGCAGTCCATGGAATGGTGGAGTGAGCTTCATACTTGTGGACTTGGTCACAAGGCTGCTTGAATGCTCACTTTATGGACAACTTCTGATTTCTAGAGTGCTCTGGTGGTTGTAGGGAGCTGTAGTGTGGGTGCTTGCACCCAGAGTATAAACAGTTGCTGAAAAGCCATTCCAAGTTTTGCTCAACTGCTGTAGAATATTTCCAAACTGGTTGCAAAAGGATTAATCTCATCCTTGGCACAGTCTCCCTGTTCTCACTGTCTCTGCTTTTCTGCCATGAATTTGAGGTAATGACAAAGCAGCTACTGAGAAGCATGAGGACTCTAATTGAATTCCTGGTAACTTCATGATGCTTACTACTGTACAAAGAAAAGTAAAAACTATTTATAGTATAAGTTTGTTAAATTTCAGACCTGCCAGCCCAGTCTGGATGGCCTGTGGTTATGTTCTAAGTGAGCACTTGCTGCTTCAGCTGATAGGCCAGGTGCTGAGTGAAGGCCTGAAGTTGTTCAGCCCTGCCCAGACTAAGAGCTTTGAGCACTGATTGATTGCCTTCTGACAGTGTCCCTTTGTCTAGGAAGCAACAAATGTCCCAGTTAACTGGGAGTCTTGTGGTGCCCGAGATTTTGTATCACAGGTGCAAATGAAGTTTAGCTACACAAGTAACAGCTGAGGCGTCAGCTTGCTGCACATCTGGTCCTTAGGCAGCCAGAGCTGGGAAGGCTGTGTCCAGTGCTAATAGCACGCACTAATTGCCAGTAGCCCATACTGCTTGTTTGCTAGTTGAGCTTTAATCCTGTTCTGCCAGTAAATACTGGAAACACGAAAACAGAACATTCTTTTTTGTAGGTTATACAGTCCTGTTACACTACAGGAGCTGTTGGTTGCAGCCATAAAAGCTTCTGGTGCCGGTGTTAGGAGTATACTCAGTCGTTGGTAGGGCAGTGTTCATTGTCTGGTGTATTGCCTTTGACTTTGTTGCAACATTTTCTGTTATCTGGGCATTCTGGTCTTGGTCTGAGCTGTTCTGCTTGCATCCTCTGTGAGTGAAGGTGGGATGCTTTGAATGGGCTGGGCCTGACCATTGATGCATTGCTACAGCTTGGCAATGCAAAAGTGGAAATTGCTTTTACTCCAAGTGTTGCTTTCCAGCATAGATCTGTGGATTAAATCCACTTCATGAAGGTTAAAAGTGACTGAAATGTACATTGCCTGTAATGCTCATCTTAAATCCTTTCAGGCATTAGGCATAGGCACTTGACATGTGACGGGTGAGTGCAGTTGAAATTGTTGCATACAGCAAAGATTGCCTAGAGAGGAATTTAAATACATCTGTGCAAAGCTCTGAAGGGTGGCAGATGGAGGCAGGGAAGTGCAATCCTGCCTTAACCCTGCAATTCCTTAAGCAGTTCCTGTATCTCCCAGGGTGTGGGAGTAACTGTGTATCACAAGAGGCAGAACTAGGAATCTGCTTGAAGGGGCAGGCATATTCTGAAGGCCTCTTACTACTGGCTGCAGTATACTAGTTAATGTGAAGCACACCAGGAAAAAACATGGCCTAGGTGTGAATTAATTTTTAGGCAGCTCTGAGCCGTGGTACTCCCGGCCTGCCTGTGCCAGCTGGGCCCGGGGCAGGGCCCGGGGCGGCACCGGCTGCGCTCAGGCTGGGGTGGGCCCCAGGGGGTGCCCAGCAGCCAGCCCGGGACAAGGCAGGACATGGTGCCCCACGCTCCAGCGTGTGGGGAACATCTCCAGCGGTAATTCAAGGGCAGTTCAGATCTGTGAAACACTGGAGCCAGTCCTCTCTGGATTGTTTAGCCAAGTATGAAGTGAAGCGGCCGTCTCTGGGCAAAATGGCTGTGTAAAATTCCATCTGGCTCTTAAAGAGTTCTGTTCTAAATGCACTCAGAAGAAAGCTTCATCCTCTAGACTGTCTAAAGAATGAGCTCAGTGAGGGGTGGGTAGGTTAGATTGTGGTTTGGTCACACAGCTTGCTAAGGAATGGTGGGTAGGAAAGAGACTGTGATGAAGACAAACCCAGGAGCGGGGCTGAGTTGTCTCCCCCAGCCCTCAGGGGCAGCCTGGGAGGGAGAATGCTGAGCCAGGCAAACCAAACTCCAGCTGACAGCTGACAAGACTCTGCTCCTGTTGGGACTGCTCCAAGCTAGAGACTGCTCAGAGGCAGTTTCTAATGTTCTTTTTTAAAAAAAAAATATGGAAACCTACTGACCTGCCACCAAGAGACTGGGTCCCCTCCTGACAGTAAGATCTTTTCCGAAGTTACCTGTGGGGAAGACTTGACCAGCCTTCAAGAAACAGCAAAATCATGTTTGCGACACAATTTACAAATTACTCTATTTAGACCTTTAATTTGTGATATTAATGACTGCAAAACACTTAGAATGACATTTGTTAAAGGCACATTTCATTTAATGCATAGTGTACCATTCTAAAATATCCTAATTTCCTTACAAAGTGCTTGAGCAGCCACATACAGATAAAGTATAGCAAAATATATTTACAATCTAGGGTTTAAATCTTAATCTGCCTAAAAATATTTAAAAAACTACAGAGATAAAATTAGTGCTTTTTTCAGCTTAACTGGGTGAACATACCCTGCCCTCTAATTTTTTCTATTTTTTTTTTTTTTTAGTGATTTGCTTAGATTAAAAAAAGATTTCTGTACAAGATGTAGTTACAAAAAGGTATGTTTGAGGATACTTTCATAAGCATTAAGCACCCTGCGAGATGCTTGTGTATATATATATTTGGGAACCAAAATGGATGAGCTGACTGTACCTCAAAAGTATTGGTTTCAGCTAGATACAGGAACATAATTTGTTTCTAGTCAATCTAGAACCTGGAAACAAGGAATGCTGAGGAGTTGACTCACTCTTTCCAACGTGATTTGCAGCAGTGAGGAAGGTGCCTGCCCCATTCCTGTGGGGGACTGGCCTGATTTAGACCTAGTAACAATTATTTTTTTCTGCTTTAAGCCTCTTCCCTGCCTAACCCCGCAGGTCTGTCCAGCATCTTGATTTTCAACCACCACCTTAGCATTGCATACTCCAGTGGTTTGTGTTTCTTCTTTGAATTAATAAAATTACCAGTTTTTAATTCATTTGAGTGCGATGCTCGCTGCCTTAGCCCATAAACAGCAAACCCTGGCCAGGATGAACCTGTGAGGTTATAGTGCTGAATAGTGCTACAGGTAAGGACCACGTGGGAAATTTATTTTCCAAGAGTCAATGTTTGCTCACAGAACAACAGATGCCAAAAATAGGTCCTGGTTTACAAATACACACAGTGTCTGGTCTAAATTACTTTTCAACTTTTGAGGTACAGCTTTTAGTGTTAAGGGGTTTATAAAATATACACTGTTTCTATCAAAAATATTTATACATTCTATTACAACATATTGCTTTTTACCCTCAGTAACTGCCAATCCAGGGGCTGGAGCTCAGTGGCCTACATGGATACATTTGTTTTGTTCACTTGGCCACTACGCAACATCGGTGAAGTGGTACAATTAAATTACTTGCCTGGAGGTAAGAATACATTACAACTTCCAAATATACATGTCCACAGCATGTATACATTGAAAATGTTTACTTTTCCTAAGTGATATGATACTGTACAGCAGACAGGAGAATGGAGGGTGTTAGATACGGACTGGGAACTTCTCTGCCCCCTCGGGGTGCGGGAAAGGCTCGAGGTGAGTATGGAAGGGGCCGGGCCTGGGCCTTGCAGCTGCTCTGCTCTGGGGTTACACTGAGCAGTGTTCTCCTTACATTCCTCATCCCAACCAGGGCCTTAAGCTGTGCTTAAGGAGCTTGAAGGCAAAACTGTTTGGCAAGTGACTTTGGTAAACTCTCCGGATTTTTCTGGGTTTTTCTTTGCAATGGAAGCACTTACACAGTTGTTATGTCAAAGGCAAGGTGTTTAACATTTTTCCTAATAAATATAATAGAAAATTTACAAAACAAGGCATATCCGTTCTCAATACCGTTATTTTAAGAACGCAAGATGAAGGTGTACATAAAAATGTGTAGTTTTAAAGACTGCACAATATTTAGCTGAAATCATTTGCCTTCTCCGACTAGAACCAGGTTCTGTGTGCCACCGGTATCCCAACTTACTTAAGTGTGGCTGAGTGGAGATTACCTAGCTCAAAGTCTGCTTTTCCCACTTAAGGCAGATACTTTAAAAGCGGTATTATCTGCTGTGGAAGAGTGAGAGAAACTGTACAGATCCACGTGCGCCCATGTGCAGGAAGTTCAGCACAGCCTGGGTTCATCAACTCAGCTTAGGAACGCCATAGACCTGCTTTCCAGTGCTCAGATAAAAAACAATATACAAAGAGGCCACTCTTCAAAAGAGTGCTAAAACAGTACTTGAAAGGATCTTCATGTGATTTAAAAAAACCCAGAAGCTGCAGGTGGCACAGAAAGCAATTGAAGGGTCAGTATTCTTCAGAGAGGCATTCTTGTGAGCCAGTCAGCTGGGACTTCACAGTGTGTGGAAGTTAACACCAATCAGCAATGTAATCAAAATCTCTGAACATTTCCTGCTCTTCTTCTGAAAGTATCCTTGGTTCTCTAGGTGGAGTGAGGATAGGTGCTTCAGAGGTAAATTCATCATCAAAATTACTAACGTCTTCTCTTCCTCTAATGGTAGGTACGAAAGGAGGCTTGACTTTCTTAGCCAGTAAAGCATGCCAATCAATTTGCTGTAAAAGAAATTAACTGATGTTTAGTGTCCCATCTCTACTCCTTTGTGTCCTTAGAAATAATACTAGTCTGTACTCACCCTGAAAAAGTGATGCTTTTTCACATCCTCAGCATCTTTCTCTCCTGCTCCAAGACGCCGCTCTGGATTTCTTCGTAGCAGCTGACAAAACATGCAGCGTTTCAGTGGAGAAATTCAGGGGGAGGAAAGGAAG